AAAAAAGATTCCTATTCATTTCTTGTCTTCTTACTCAAGTAAGAGGTTGAACTGACATATAGAAAGCGTATATATTGCTATCAAATTCAGACGATCACAATACATATCAAAAATTTCAGATTAAAATTGTGACGTTCATTTGACCCATTGACAGACAGATGATATTGAAATTTCTAAAACATTAAAAGTAGGATCATCATCCACCTATGTCAGGATACAATAACTTTCAGATTTTCAACAAAACATATGTCAAGTGGCACGAACCGTTTTATGTTCTTAGTATTCAAACTAGTCAACTGATGAAACTTTAGCATGATAAGTCGGATACAATGCCTTTTTATAATTACTTTTGCAAATGTATAGGCACATGGACAAACCTGTTTCTTAACATCCGGTTGGTGGTTCTTTACATATATATCATATCCTACCTGAAATTACAGAATGTTTCAAAAACTACTGGGAGTGTATCTGATGTTAGCGGCAATCATTCATTCGGGTCTCCAGAAAGAATACAATAATTTATGATTCAGAAAATATTTCATCTTTAAAAGCTCTTGTTTTTTTCCCAATAAAAAGATTATCAGTTATTTCTGATGCATATGAATATCCACCGAAAACTAAACCAATTGAATTTATTTGGAACTATAAAATAAGACGACTGTGTTTATGTCATTAATTTTTGACATTTATCTTATCACATCTTCCCATAGGAATTTTTGTCAAAAGCAATTATCATATGATTGTGAAGATGAACAAGTTGATAATTAACAGAATAACCAGTGAAAGTTTATTATTAATAAAAGATATTTCAGAATTAAACATAGATATTACAAAAGTTTTTTTTATAAATGTTGATATTTCCATTAAATCTAATTTCCCACAATCATCAAACGGACAAGGACTTTATTTTCAATTACCACTAGGTATACAAATTCATCAATTTAGACGGAAAGAAATGAAGTACCGAGGAAATCATTTTGATAATCAATAAGGAATCATTCTAAATAACAAATGTGAGAAATAATATGAAATTGCCAATTTCGGATTACGACAAGGGGCCTGTTACCTAAAGGTATAATAAACCGAAAATGCGAAGTCAAACCTACATTTCAACAAAAATAAGAAATAGTGAAGCTTCTGGTCAGTCAACAGCCTGAAATATAATTATTCAACGAATCCACTTACAGTGAATTATTAAATTTGTGAGTTATATTATAATTGACTTTATAAGGTCAGAGCTATTTCGAATATCTTATTAATAAATGAGCAAAGTATGACAAAAATTTAACATACTAAGAATTTGAGTGGTGATTAAGTAGGTAAAGTATTCAGTCAACAAACTGTATACTCTAACCCTTTTCCATTTATTGTTTGGGCTTCAGGGAATTATCACGACTTATGTATTACTCATAGATAAGTTCATCATCTTGTACTTAGTAAGTTAAATATTAGTTAAAAATATGATTGAAATAAAGCAAGATTCGCAAAATAACACGAATTCATTGTATTTTATGGCTTCTTAACAGTTAAGAATGGCCTGAATTTGCATCAGTACTATTATCATAAGTCTTATACGCTTTACATAAGATATTTTTCAATGTATGCTAGTTCTTCCGATATTCTGTTCGTTAAACACAATCTTCTAGCCCTGTTAAAAAGGATTTCGACTAAACGACGTTTATGTACAACCGAAAGAATACAGGAAGAAATTGCATACAGTGATCAGTGTCTTATAAAAAGTGGATATCCAAAGAAATTGACTATGGAGTACAGGAAAATGTTTACGGGAAGTCCCCAGAAAATTTGTCTTCGCCCATCTTGGATTCGAAGGTGAGATTTCAGTTTTGATGGAAAGGAAGGATTACAGTGTTATTGGAAGAAAGTCTCTTTGCAGCCCGATTATTTTCAGTGTACACAAGATGTTCATTAAGCCAATTAAAAGTGGGTCAGTGACTTCCTGTGGTCACCAAATATTTTATAAATTTACATTTACGAGTACATAGGAAAGACTGGAAAAAAAGACCATCTACCAGGTATTCTGAATATATTCTACGTAATTTATATCTGAAAAGATTCACAAACACAATTACTATACAGTTAATAGAACGTGTACATCACAAAACCGGCTAAAATAATTAAAAACCAGCAAAAACCGTTTTGGAGGCAACTGCCATGAAGCACTTTCGATTTAAATTTGTGTATTTTGATCAGAAGTCCTTCTTTCCAGTCTGTTGGTACTTGTTCCTCATCCCGAATCTTATTGAAAAGAATATGGAGTATCCTTGCATTTGCCGCTACGTTTGCTTTCAGTGCCTCTGCTGGAATGTTGTCCGGTCCTGCTGCTTTGCCACTCTTGATTTGTCTGATGGCCATGCTGATTTTTCCAATTGTTGGTGGGCCAACGTTGATTGGGAGGTCCGTGGGTGCTGCTTCGATGTTGGGTGGGTTCAGTGGAGCTGGTCGATTCAGGAGTTCTCTGAAGTGTTCTACCCACCTGTTTCGTTGCTCTTCAATGTTGGTGATTACCTCGCCTTCCTTGCTTTTCACTGGTCGTTCAGCTTTGCGGCAATTTCCAGAGAGTCTCTTTGTTATGTCATACAGTTGTCTCATGTTTCCTTCTCTTGCAGCCTTTTCCGCCATCGTTGCTAAATCTTCCACATAGTTACGTTTGTCAGTTCTGATACTCCTCTTTACTTGTTTGTTTACTTCTGTGTATTCAGCTTGTGCCTTGGCTTTTTCTGCTCTTGTTCGACTGGTATTGATTGCTGTTTTCTTGTTCCTCCTTTCTTGAATCCAGTGATCCATTCCTTGTGATGGTGCTTCTTGTGACCCAGGACCTCATGGCATGTTGAAATGATTGCCTCTTTGATCCCCTTCCAGTTGCTCTCCACAGTAGTTCCTTCTCCATTGAGTAGATCATGAAAGGCCTGGAACTTATTGCTGAGGACTATCTTGAATTTGTTAAGTTCGTTAGTATCCTGAAGAAAGGCCGTATTGAACTTTTGTGATATTGTCCGCCCCATTGTCCAGTGTTTCCTGAGTTTCAATTTCATCTTGGCGACCAGCAAGTGATGATCTGATGCTATATCAGCTCCTCTCTTGGCTCTCATGTCCTCTATAGTCCTCCTGAACGTTTTGTTGATGCAAATATGATCGATTTGGTTTTGCGTGGTGTGATCCGGTGAAGTTCATGTGGCTTTGTGAATGCGTTTGTGTGGGAATATGATGCCGCCAATGACCAGTTTATGGAAGGCATATAGGTTTATAAATCTCTCACCATTTTCGTTCCTTTCTCCCAGTCCGTGTCGTCCCATGATGTCTTCATATCCAGTGTTGTCCGTTCCAACTTTGGCATTGAAGTCTCCCATCAGAATGATCAGGTCCTTTGTTGGGCACTTCTCGACGATTGACTGCAGCATATCGTGGAATTGATCTTTAGCGTCTTCATTGTAATCGTTGGTAGGCGCATAGCATTGGATGATGTTCATTGAAATGCCCTCTTTCTTTGTTTTGAAGGAGGCTTTGATGATCCTTGATCCATAAGATTCCCATCCTAGAAGTGCATTTTGTGCTTGTTTGGACAGCATCAATGCAACTCCTTGTGTATGTGGAGCATTTTCTTCTTCATGGCCGGAGTATAACAGAAGCTCTCCTGAAGTTAGTCGTTGTTGTCCAACTTGCGTCCAATGTGTTTCACTGATCCCAAGCACTTCTAGGTTGTACCTCCACATTCCTGCAGCAATTTGGAGGGCTCTTCAGGTGTCTCACATTGTACGAACATTCCATGTACCTAAATAAATGGTTGCTCTGGTTGTCAGAAGGGGCATCGGCCTCGTGACTTCCGAAGGAATTCGGCTTTCATCATGAGGCGTCATAGTTCTTCTAAATGAAGACCTTCTGACTCCCGGGGCAGAGTTTAAAAGGTTCGAATACTTTTTCTGGTTAGCGTTTTTTAGCGAGTTAGTTTTCTACGGGATGGGGACGCTAACCCCATGCCCAACCCTCCTCCTTTATCCGGGCTTGGGACCGGCAGTAGCCCCCAGAGGGACTCCAGGTGGAGTTAAAATTAAGCACCTGCAGTCACCTAAATCAACTCCGCCTGGAGTCCCTCCGGGGGGGAATTAAGAAGCACTGGAAGTGGATAGGACACACATTGAGGAAAGCACCCAACTGCGTCACAAGGCAAGCCCTCACGTGGAATCCTCAAGGCCAAAGGAGGAGAAGAGGAAGACTAAAGAACACATTACGCCGGGAAACGGAAGTAGACATGAGAAAAATGAACAAGAATTGGATGGAACTAGAAAAGAAGGCCCAGGATAGAGTGGGTTGGAGAATGGTAGTCGACGGCCTATGCTCCATTAGGAGTAACAGGCGTAAGTAAGTAAATAAGTAAGTCACTTTAATCAGGGTAACTAATGTATCTATCGCAATTCTAAAATATTTCGAAACATAAAACTAATTTAATTGTAAATGCGCCAAGTGTTACTTAGAAATTTCTCCAAAATCACGTTAAAGTAGCAAGTTACATACATTTTGTGGATTCAGTCAAGTTGCTGAATTGCTGTCATAATATAAAGATTTCCTTTAAAACTAGAATGCTAATCATCCTTCAATATTTACACATTCACCAAATGACTAGTTTGACTATTGGTTCAGAAAACTGTAACACAAGAAGTCCCAAGTTTATTGTCTTGGTATTACTATTACATAAAGACTGGCTACTTCTGACCTGTAATTATCCCATAGAATTAACAAACGGTAGTTTGCATGCAGCTATTTTACGACACTTTGACCCAGCTATTCTGCATCTGCGTGATATTTAAGCCTGGGGCTTCCATTATTCCTAATGGAGAACATAAAACAGGTAGTTTTGTTTAGGATTTTAGAAAGTCTTATTATCATTGTACGCTATAATTCAGATATCTACACGTTATTTAGGGATTATGTATAGAGTAGTGTTTTTGATTAGTTCCGACTATTGATAACAACCATGAACACTTCTGAAAGAACTTGTATTTACAAACATTTTGATTATGAGTATGTTATGAAGATACAATTCACGATAAATGGATAATCTACGAACAAAGATGTGATTATATTGTCAATAAATCGAGTTATATTAATTATAAATACACGCACTTTACATAACGTAAGAGTGAATAAGTACAATCTGAAACTAATTAGCTCGAACTATAGTCCATGATATTTTCACTTTGTACATTATTATCATCCTTTTCGTGATACAATTTGAATAAACCTTCGTAATAATTCCACAAATTGTCCACATTTTCGCAACTGGAGAAAAAATGTGAAAATTAGATTTATGAGTGTAGGAATTGAAATAATAACAAACTCTAGAAAAATATTATTAACCCGAATTATGTTTTGAGCATGGAATCATGAACATTTTAAGAGTTTGATTATTCTCACAACTCACAGGCTTTATCGCGCTTGTAAGAACTTCAACAGTTATTACAAAATCGTGTTACATTAGGGCATTGGAAAATGTGAAGACTTTTGTGATAAAAAGGGAGCGTGAAAAAAATGATAGTACCAAGGACAGAGGTTGAGGAAATAACTACGATTTTTTTTTAAAAATTTAAATCTGTCAACCCTTCCAGACGCAGCATTGCTAGGAGCGTTGATAAATCTTACTTAAAAACCATCTATCAGCATGTATGTCGACATGATAACGCACTTTATAAGGTCTTAATAGCAAGTACACGATCTCCTCCTATTAATGTCCTCAATTGTGCGTGACTTCGTTTCAACAACTTGAGAGAAGAGAAAATCGACATAGTGATAACCGGCACGTAAGTTGGCTAGATTTTTGAGCTAATTTTGTACTCATTCCGAACAAAATGAGAAGTATAACAATAGGCAGTAATTTTGAAGTAACTGTTAGAATGTTCACATCGATGGATATCATATTCATTATGAAGACTGTTGATAATGAAGGGTATAACAATGACTTTATTGCAGAAAACAAAAATAGCCAGATAGTCATACTTATCTACCAAATTCTCAGACTGGAAAATCATTTTAATCTTGCGTTGCGTATTTTGTTGGATTTTAGTGGCTACAGTTTCATTCGCAGCTCCACCTTATTAGATAGATGATTCGTTATCACACCTAATGGTTGTAGTTTTAGGTATGACAGAATTCTTTTTTAAAGTATTCAATACAGCACCTTAAGTGTTGTGCATTAGTACCTAGTTAGTAAGCTTACCTAAACAAGTTTTAGGATAAAACACTACATAAATGGAAAACGGTCGAAGTCGCTATAACTCATCATAGTCCATCCACAAAGATCTATATTGTCATGATTTGTTCCCAGAACTTGAATCATCTATTCAACCTTTGTTATGCAACACTGGTGAAGAATTGATTAATATGAATAAGAAACAGTATGATGTTATTAAAAATTATTAGTTACTTCTATAGACTTTCATCTTTAAAAAAACTTATCTCTATATCTCAAGTCACAAGCACAATAGATCAACGGGCGAGGAAAACACTAACTTGATACTATGGTAACACAAAACTGACAACAAACACAATATTTTCCTTTTTCAACAAATGCAACATAATTCACAGCATAAACACTTCACCACACAAAAGAATTTAAAAAGACGAAAGAAAAGAGATAGGAATAACAGAAACAATGTTGACTTACGTCAATCTATTCACACAACAATGATAACAATAGCAGCAAGATCATTAGAAAATGTAAGACAGAAATGATAGATAATCGTTAGTTAATTTTATTTATTTATCTGATTAACAACAGAATTGACTCCATTAGCTTTTTTAATCAAAATAATCTGTCATTCTTTATCAAATTAATTAGAGAAACAAGAGAAGAAACCACAAAGAAGTGAAGATTAGAAAATAGAGAAAAAGTAAAGGGTGGAAAAACTGAATTGATTGTAACTAAATTAGTTTCGAAAACAACGCGTTGGATACAAGAAATAAAAGAAGGGGTACACATATACAAAATATCATTTAGATAGAGAAATCTAGTAAACGAATAATCATTTTTATTATAAAGAAAATGAAAAACACTTCTTTAAGATTATAACTTACTCTAATAACATTCATGATTGAGAAGTGTAATCAAGAAGATAATCAACTGATAAACTGATGAAATTTTTAGTGAAGTTTATGAATGACATTTATTAACATCTACCGTCTTATGAATACACAACACATTTCGGTTATGCAGCATTAACAATGGCCAAATAAAGTTTAAAATGAGTAAATTATTCTATCTCTTACGAAGAAAGATAATTAAGATAGTGAAATTAATAGCATGATCATTAAAGTCATACTGTTAATTGTGTTATGTCCCGATAAGCATAAGGAATGGTAACGTTTGGGATCCATTTATGGACCAATACTATGAGTATATTTTTATCAAATAATTGTTAAATAACTAAACTATTTATATTCATGTCCCTCTTATTATGAGCTTTATTTTGACCTATGAACTATTATTATACGATTTACCATTTTTGAATTATGCCCTGTCTAATAATTGCTACCTCCTACACTCATAGTCACTTTTGGCTAAATCTTGTACGAATGTTCTTTCTTATTTTATGTTACTATGTGGTCTGTCTGGTTGGTATATAAACCCAGTATGCTTGAAATAAATTATTCATATCGCAGAGGCTGAGATTGGTGTTCTGAACTTAACTGGATGGGTTAGGCAGGAAGCAGGACCAATAAGCACTCTAGACTGCTCTAATGGGTTTTACGCGTCACTGGTCCGATCGATAAGCCGCTGCTCTCTAATTGGCGGTATCATTACGTTACAAATTAACAGGGCACACATGCCATAAGTTATAACAAATCATCGCCCCCAACACAATCAGTTGATGTGAAGTTGGAAAAAAACAATGAGTGAAGAAAATGATATAGAGATTTAACAAATTAGTGGCGGCCTGCTTGAATATCTGGGCTACCTGTTCCTCCGATCTACATATTTCATCAAGTTATCTGTTTTAGTTGCTTGTTTTAGTTCATCATTATGTCCATTGTGCACACAATCTATTCAGGCGCGTTTATGAAAAGTTTACAACCTTTCGCTATACGTGATACAAAAAGGTACAATCATCGACATCATGGTGGCTGGCAATATGCATTGAAACGAACGAACATTAATCAAATGTGGATTACCGAACTCCCAACATCTAACCGGTCATCATTCAAAATTTATCGTCACAATAGATCAAGGTATAAGAAAAGGAAACTTGTTGAAATACTTTATGCTGAGAATTCTATGTTGTACCAAAAATATAATGTTGAATAAAGCTTCTAATAATAAATAATAATAATAAATAGTTAGGAAGAAAATCTAAATCAAACTAAATACAAAGAAATTAAAACAAAAATTCATACTGAAATAACCAAAGACCAAATTAAAAGAATTAAAATGAGAGTATTATATATATATATATATATATATATATATATATATATATATAAAATTGGGAAAAAACCAGTTCCAAGATGAAAACCTTGAAGTTGTTCAATTATATCAGGTCACTCAAATATGAAATCTCGAACGACTGGGAACCATATAAAAATGTTAATGTATTCATAGGCTTTATCTTAATGGTAAGGATTAATAGTGAACCAGTGATGGAATAGTTCTAGTAGAACCCTTTTACACTTGTGGAATATAGTTGACCATCTTGGGTCCTTGCTACTGGAAACCATGAATCGAACGACGCAAGTAATAACACGAATATGATAGACCCCAAAAGAGATCAAAATAATATATAAATATACCCAAAATTAAGTATATACAACCAGTAGATATAGCTAATTGATCATGTGTAACTCGCACTCCAACTATGTCGCTGTTGAAACTCAACCACTTAACCTCGTTTAAGCAACAAAACAGAACTTCCAAGAAACACACAACACATGACTGACGATTAACTGTGTGAAAATGTTTGTGAGTATTAACTTGTAAAAATATTTAATTCACCAGCCTAGGTTTAAATGCAGCGATAAATAAGTATAAAACACACCAACTTAATTGTAAGAAGATTAATAAAGTGTTAAAAGAATGATAATAATATTTAGAGAATGGAAAGACGATAAAATACGATAAAATAACTCACTGTTTGATTACACTAGACTTAACATGATTCAGACTAGCCTGTAAGCGAACTAAGTTTGCTTGGCAAGTTGCCCATTCACCTTGTAAAGTTAAAAAACCTGGATTACAAAGTTCCTTTTTGTTGTCTATTGATTCGTTATTCGGAAGATTTCTTGACTCCTTAGAATTCGTACATTCAGATAAAGCTGAATTAGCAGCTATTCTTCGCAAGTTCAACGCATGAGAACGGAGTATAGAGTGTGTCCAGCGTACATATAACTCAACATGACGTGATCGGCCACTCAACTGACGAGCAAGAAAAGAGATGAGATAATGTGCAATTTGATTGATAGGGAGTTGACGGGCTAAAAAGTCAACTAAAACATAACGAAAATTCAAAGTGTAGACAGCCAGGAAGAAAGAATTCATGAAAAATATATCAGCAGTGTGGAAATTAAACCTATGAAATAATAGATTGTTTATGAGACATCAGATTTCCCTTCAGTAATTGATCACTACCAAATATCAAGTCTCAACTACAAAGACTTAATCTATATTTACTCATTGCAAAGACTTTTTCACAAACCCGATGACTGTATGTGCAACCTATTTCCACAATCGAAAATTGTCCACTAGGCTGAAGGATATTACCAAGAAAACACTTTCCAGCAGTTCATCATCAGAAGGTATTCCATGTATAAAGTAGTTAAATACCTTAAATAACCAACTCGAATAGAATCGAATGGTTTATTTCCTACAAGTCATCAAAAAAGAAAGACATCTGACCACCTCTCCGTTTTTTCCAACCAGTCCCAATGCACGACGTGGAATTCTATGGGACGACATTCGTAGATTATGTCCAAGCCACCGAAGTCGATGTTTCAAGATGACGACACCAATTGAATTATCGTCTCTGCACCCGAACACACGATGCCGAACCTATGTATTACTAACATGGTGTTGCCACTTGATGTCAACAATCCTTCGGAAACAACGATGATCAAACACAGAGTCGTCTAACATCCTCAACTCGAAGAGATCAGGTTTCACAAGCATAGAGCAAAACTGCTCTCACCGACACGTTGGAGATCCGACCTTTTACAACCAGACTAGTATCACGGAGGCACCAAAGGTAGCCCAGATTGGCTGTTTATATCACTAATTGTTAACGATTTCCAGCGAATAATGTTTGATCACAGGAAACCGAAATATAAATTACATACAACTTAACTGCTTTTATGGGACGAAAGAAATGTCAGCCAAGGATACTTACCCAATCATAAATAAATTATGTCGAGGCCTAAATCAAATAAGATGAAATTTCCATAATAATATCTCACCTTCCGCTATTCAAGGGCATATATTGCCCACTTACGTACTGATGAATGAAATTATTCAGTTACTTAGACTTAAAAATAGCATAAATACTATTAAATAATAATACTCAAAAAGTGATAACGACAGCCCTTTGACTATGCTGGTTGTCTTAATTGTTTTACATCTTACTCGAATTTACTACAACTATGATTGTTTTCAGTATAAACTGTACGAAATAGAAAAAATGAGTACAAGACAATGCGACAGCTATCTACTCTCATATGAGTTACAGTAGAAAAACTGAACATAAAGTCATCGAAGGATAGAGAACTGACTCCCTGACCATGATGACATTTAGAAATACGGCTAGTCTAACCACAATTAAATACCAAAAAATCTTTTTAATATTATGTACCATGAGATTATTAGGAATAAATCGATGAATTAACTTATATCCTGCGCTGAGGATAGCTTTCAGAACACTATAAATTACCGAATTGACAATGTGCCTGTAAAGTATCATACTTGTAGTTTCTGATAAAAATAACCGAAGCATTAAACACTGATATTGTAACTTAACGAAAATAGTAAGCTCGTAAAATCTGTTTTACGAAACGAAAATTTGAAACTAGCCCATTCATAATCTGAAAATTTAAAAATTTATGACCTATTTGATCAAGTAAATTCAATAGCTAGATCATGCCAGCAATGAAGATATTTAATGTTGACAGGTAAATATATATATATATATATATATATATATATATATATATATATATATATATATATATATGCAAAATGATCTAAGTAACGTTTACTTTGGTCAACGGGAATTGATTCAATAACTTCCTCAACAAGTTCATGCGATTGCAACCGAATAGCCATGTCCAATGCCTCTGCATGTCTACCTTGAATGAGTGCACTACGAGCGTTTGATGGAGTGGTTTGTTCATCAATACCTAATGTATCAAACAACCAACCACTATCACTACAGCTTGAAGTACCAAAAATACTACTTATGCCATATCCTGTTCCAGCAGATGGTAAGGAATATACAAGAATACCTTCTGTAGTGGCAGTTGCGAATGAATCACCTGTGGACATAAAGCGTAGAAGTTAAGGATTAGACTGATTATAGATGTGATATATATTTTATAAAACATATAACTATTGATAAATAATCAAAAAGTTGACAATTTAGACCAACAAAAATCTGTCAATGTACCTGTAGGTGAAAATTCAACTGCAGAAACTCTCACTTCAGGTCTCCATTGGCGTCGACTACGATCTTCACCCTTAATGCTTGATGGGATTCGCAAACTAGGACGTTGTGCTTCTTTGGCGTTCATTGTTTCCATACTGAAACGATGTAAATAGTTACGTCGATCGTGTATCTCTTGAACTCCAGCTAGTGAAAGATTACATGTGACTTCAAATCGTTTAATTAATAATTTATCAGGAACAGAATAGAGACATATGTATTTTGAATCTCCACCTGCTATTAAATGTTCACCGTCGACAGAATAAGCTATAGTTTGGAATTTCCTATTGACAAGAATATGTAATAAAAATATTTAAGTGTGTATAGTCAAACAGACAAACTAAAGCATTAGTTATGGCTAATTAAGTATATTTTTGAAGATAATTTACGTCACAGATTGATGTTAACTATAAATTTAATCGGAAACAATGAGCTCCTATTTATTTGAAGAATCATTATTTTATTTTTATTTTCTTGTTAGCTTTGTGATACTAATATATCATTTTATGACAGATATTTTCAGAGCTTCTGACGATGCTCGGGTTTTAAAAAAGATACCAAATATTCTTTTAAAAAAGCATTTATAAAACTATGTTTGATACACTATAATAAACATACTTAGATTCGGCTGCTCTACGTGGGGTAACTAAGTCTTCCTCACTAGTCTGTGCTACCCCAAGATCCCGATGACCATCTATGGTTCCCATTTCAACCCCTTCGTTAGGGTCATAGAAAACTATGTTTCCGTTTAAAAGGGAAATAGCCAGCTGCTTACCATCAGCTCGATATACAACGTATAAAGCTACAATTCAATACAAAAAAACAATAAGGACTTTCTAAATATAATATGACGATCAATCTTGAATTATTGCTACTGAAGAAAATCAAACTGTAAAACGAAACTAAATACAACTAAATAGTTGACTATAAATAGTAAGGTGTACGGACAAAACAATACCTGTGGCATTAGAATATTCACTGGGAAATACGATTCTTACAATTCATAAATCAGTAAAGTTAAGTTCTATATTGAAATGATTTACATTGCAGATATATTCTACGCTTTTATCCCTGAGAACCTCTAACCAATAAAGTGAATACATCACTTCGCTTTTTGACTTCCATAGTCGTATCTAAATTAAGTATGAATTCAGAAGTGAAAATACGTTACACGAAACATTAAAAAAGTAACATTATTCCGTATCTTGGTAGACAACGGCACCAAATGTGTAGTGATAGGAGACTCGGTGGGAAAAACTAATTTACTGTTGAATGCGAAATTACACACTCTCCTTGTAAAACATGAAAATCACACATTAAATAAATTATTTGCACATCTCCCTTTATTTTTCCTTTAAATACTTCATGACTCTTCCAATTCTGTTGTTATTCGAATTGCTCGCTGTTTCCCCATTCTCTTTAATTCAATCTTGTGCAGGTAGGTATTCCATTTTCGATTGTTGTTACATGCTAATTATGTCTACCAGCATAATTAGCGTACACCACAATTGTATTGTATTACATGTAGCATATGGTGCATCACATATTTTGTACAGCTGATAAATACATTCGTTTTACTGGAGGTTGGTTGCTCAGTGCATGGGTTTTTTGACAGTTGATGTTCGAATTTATCGTTTTTCCAATGGCATGGGAATATAACTATACGACAAAGCATGACACTGGTTCATGGACTTTAGGTATGTACTAACCTTATTCGCCTTTATTTAGAATGATATTTCTGCAACTATAACCTAGTTAGAACTTCCGAACTTGAGTTCCCAATTTTTACAATGAAAAAGATGTGGAGCATATGTGAACAAGCTCCGGGATGATAAGCAGAACTTTAGCGGATTCATGAGGGTTTACGATGATCAACATCGACTTAGTTTTACATATGGTGCTGGACTAAATACTAATGATAACAGTTTTGATTATCATCCAAAGTATACAAAATCTAGCACAATATAGCTATAAATACTCCTGCATTTGCCATTAGTTGTATGGTACTAACAACCATTTATATCATTTATTCTAAAAATATTTGAACTGTGCACAATAACTTTCTGGCATTTACAAAGATAAAATAGTCTTGTCTGTGTAAAACTGAAATGCGAAATATGCGGCATAGTTAACAAACGAATGTATGTAATTTTTGTGAATTCACTTGATCTACTCAAAAGTAGTATATATTCCAGTGCCTAAAATAAAGCCTTCTGTAATTAGACAAATTAGACCCACTAAATTTTTTAAAACTCGTTTAGTGGTGAAGTTTTCTCAGAACCTAACTAAAGAATAAAGAAGGCAGCGATTATAAGCCCTAACTCTACATAAAGTTCACAAAGAATGACTGGTTGGGTAAACATTCAACTGACAGGAGTTTAAACACACGATATGATGGGCTTCTTCTGGGCATCGACTAAAAAGTTGTTGAATAGAGTAGTAACTTATTTACTTAATATATACCTTTATCTAGGTGTATGAATTCTTGTAATGACAAACCGATTAGACCTCTGCAAACATGTACTTTAGCTTTTATCACAATGAAATGTGTTGATGGTGGGATTGTTATGAGGAAATAATGCAGTCTAACCATTTTACTTTCATCATACTCAACACAGTCTCTCATAACAAAGATATTTTCCAACTTTGACTGATCTTTAAACGTTTCATCTAACAGATTTGACTGGATCATAGTTTAAAATTTCTCTTGAAGATTACCCATTACAACCATTAGCTTTCCTTCAATAGTGAAAAACGAATATCTACAACAGATTATTTTCGTGAATCCAGTTACAAAGAAAAGTTGAAAGAAAAGGATCTATTTTTTCAACCGTTTGTCATTACAGCTAATTAGTAGTGGACAAACAAGAAACTATAGCATTTTGATGGTAGGATGTTCTCTACAAACAATATTGAAGATAATACCGATGATGACAGATTATCGTGGAAATCACATCAAAACAACGAGAAGTAAGGTGGAAATAAACACTTATGTTTATCGACTTAAGTGTTGCATTATACACCAACTAATAAATGTGAGAACATGTAAAGGATCAAAAATACCGATACAGACAGTAACTGCAAAAAATGGAAACCAAATGAAACAAATTTGAGACTTTTTAAAAATAATTTTCCACATTTATATCACGGATTATAACCAAGTTTCTACTCCCCTACACAATTCACAACAAAAGTCGATAAGTGAATCGATTTGGGACATTTTAACCGCTTCCCAATCGTATAGACATATTAACCAATTATACCTAGAATTATCCGAAGAAAATTACCATTAATTCCTTAGCGTTTCCATCAAACAATGAATTTTTTGAAGACAATGATATTCAAATACCGACAACCTAAACGTCTTCCAATTTTACAGATAAAATTACAGCCATGAAGAAAGACATTTCAATATCCTGTGCGATACGCATTTGTTAATAAAAAGATGAGTATTCAGCCTGCATTACAAATGGCATAATTTGTAAAAAGCATAAAATTCCTTTTGTATGTGGCGAGATCTTATTTATATATAATTCATGAGGTCTGGACGACCATATGAAGCAACATGAATACTAGAACTACTCGTATTCAACAATGTTTTGTAAAGTATATCCATCACCTAATGACAACTTATATCTACTTGGCCATAAGTTAAATAAACAACCACCAATTAAATGCAAATCGATAGTTGCTTCTTGACTTCATAATTTCATGTGTGTAGAGATAACTTTTCATAAATTCACATTAATGTCAAATTAGATGAGCTACATTAAGAACCCAAATATATTGTTCGACAAGTTAAGAAGTAAGTAACTCACCATCACATGAAAAATTAACAACCTCTTTTGTAAGACCCATACTAGATAAATTATTTTCATCAGTCGAATTGCCTGTAACATCCCATAATCGAAGCGTACAATCCCAACTAACAGTAGCCAATTCGATATCAATACCAGAAATGGTAGGATTAAATGCTAGTGCACTAATGGGAGAAGTATGCCCCGTTAAGGTAGTCAACAGCTGACCTGTCTTAACTGACCATACATAAGCTTCAAAAGTATCCAGACCTCCAGCAGCAACAAGAGAGCCACGCGTATCAACAGCCAACGACGAGAACTGAACGCGACGAGTAGGCACAGTGAATGTACGGAAATTCCTGTAGCTTTAAACACAATAATGACAAAAAACAAATACACTCAGAGAATGACAAGCTCTGGTACAGAATAAAAAGCTTTTATTCCTTGAAATAACACACAAAGTTTGAATGAACTTTTATAGAGTATTTTCATTCGCTTAGTTTCGAAATCTAAAGAAATCACCAATTATAATTCAAATATCTGGCTATATCCTTGAGATCCATAATAGATTATGAAACACTTCATAATCGACTGAATATTCATCAGTACTTGGCTAGTAAATAGGAAATGTGACTGACTACTTACAGATTACGAACTGTAACAACCGTATGAGCAGTAGAAAGATCAAATCTCTATTTAAATCAAAACAAACGCGTGAATGGGGCTTATATCACTTGTATTCTTATATCATTATGCTTAAAATCCGAAAAACGACATGTAAACTTCATGCATCTATTACTTGCAAAGACTAACGAAATACTGAATAAATATCAAAGTATTTTCTATAACTCTAAACTGGTATACCAAAATAATTATTATCAACGTCTTGTGGAAATTCTAAAACATTAATTTAAAAGGATAGGTAACATTCAGTTAGAAAAATATATACATCGATAGTAAAATCTTAGAACCTTGTTTGTTACAATAAACGTTAAAATAAAACTAAAGTTTGTGCAACAAAAGAGATTGAGAGCAATTCTTCTTGATTAACCTAAATATTCATATCGAAACTAAACACAGTATGCGTGAACTTGCACAAACTAAACACTCCACTTCACGCCTTAGGGACAGCGTTACCATTCTGAGTATGAGTATATAAACTTATCTTCATTTTTTGCATAACAATGAAATCATGATTAAAAGTTGTTCTTATTAACATTGGATACTTCTCTAAATTACAATAACGGATATAATCAGCAGAAAAATAGCCTTACAAATGTCTTACATTTCTCTGAGAAGTTTTTAGTTAATTGGACTGTAAAACTTTATTCTGACACATTTGGTCTAATGGTTTACTGCAACTTAAGAAGGGATATGTCTGACTTGAGATTTTTCGAGAAGTACATAAATTGACTGACTCAAATCATCATCAAAAAGTAATATTACACAGAAGCTAATAATAAATAACATACACTTGATAACAATGCAACATATATGTTGAAGGATAACTAATGATGATCTCTGCATCTACACTAACAGTAAAAATAAATTCCGTATCTCAGAATTTCTAGGCGATGCTTTACATACACTTACTTAGCGACTAGATAACCAATGAGTTAGTCTCAGTAAGGGCGCAAACTGTAATCAAACTGGTTAGATTGAATTCTGGTTGATATTAATTTATATTTTTATCAGACTGAAAGTACCTGGAAAACAATTTTCATAGTTATATTGAATGTAACCGTAATGTAAGTTCGAAAAAAACTTAGCCTTCTATTTTAGGTAATAATTCGCAGTCTGGAAACCGTCATCATATGACGATGTACAGAAACGAATATTTCAGTGATCAAAGTGATAATCTCTTAAAATCTATGTATCACTTATTACAACTATAGACCGTTATAAGTTCAGTTAGATGTAGAAAAATATGGCTTGCAATTATTTTGTGTTTCGACTGGTGTCGGACACTAATATGAATTCTTTAGTTACCTAGTAACGATGCAAATCGAATTACCTAGTAAATAAACAAACTACTTTGCTTACAAGTGTATTTCGGAAAGCAAAGAACAAATGTTCATCAACTATTTCCCTCAACCCTATATATATATATATATATATATATATATATATATATATATATATATATATATATATATATATATATTAGATGACTAAAAACATACCGAATCAAATCATGAGCGCGAACGGTCCCATCCAAACTGGCTGACAAAACGACTTTGGAATTTTGAGCTGGGAATGCAACTCCAGTAACACCAGCTGTGTGCTCAGTAAAGGTTACAACACACCTGCCACCAGATATACGCCAAACTTTCACTTTGTTATCATAACCCCCAGTTACCAAATGTAAACCATCAGGAGAGTACGCCAAACTAGTCATTTCCTTAGAGTGGGAATCAGCGCGTAGGTAGCAGGATTGCGATCTCCATTCCCAAACAGCAATTTGTCCGAATAGCTCTGAACCTGCACCAATCCAATCACCATTACGGTTAATCGCTAGACTGCTTATACTGTTAGTGAATAGACTGCGAATGAAAAAGAAATTAGTTTCTATCACCAATATAATACATTGTACATTGAATTCAAATAAATTCTTCAAACATAGAAAGTGTACACACAATTTGTATCCTATTCTTATTATTATGATTTTATTTCTTTTTGAACACTTATTTAAGCCGTGAAATAGAGTGAATTTACTTTATTCTGTAGACCTGTGTTGTTACTGTTTAAAAAATAAAATATATAATAGATTTTAAAAATGTAACATCTTACTTTACTTCACTGATTATTATGAAGTCTGGAAATGTATGTAGTAAAAGTAACCCTGATTCAAACCCAGTTGCAAGCATTTTTAAATCTTTATGAAATGCCACTGCGCTAACGGGATCGTTGATTTGCACTTCGTTAGAGTTTGTATAACGGTATCTGAAAACAGATATGAAAAGTGAAGAAATTCTAGATGAACGGTGTTACGCGTGACTAAAATGATTTTGAATTAGTTTCAGTAACCTTAATCAAGGATTTATTAAGCGCCTGGATACTCTTAATCACATAAAATAACTTTTCTGATGATAATAATACCAATAAACAATCACTGAAAGTGATGTCTCTTAAAAAAAGGAGCAAGAATAGAACAATTTTAGGTCAACTTTCCACTTTGATTTAAACTCCTAACTATCAACCAGAGGTTCGTGTATTTGAATGTCACTTTACTCACCAACATCAGATCAGCTAGATTAATTATTTATTTATTTTAACACATAGATATTGGTACAAGGAGGCACCAAATACATATGCGCCATACAAGTCTCATTCGATATGTGTGAGGGCTGTGATACTGCCCGGGTGCCCAGACCGAAGCAGGTGGTTTTCTTAGGGGGCCACACCCCGAGCCTTCGACCTGAAGGTCTGATCCACAAGGCAGTGGAGCATCGTAAGGAGATGCAGTCCCATGGAAGCCGGTGACCAACAATTGGTTCATTCGCCATTTGTTCCCGCAGGATACTGGAGCCCATGTGCATCATTGGTTTAGAATCCGGTTAAAACGCCGGACATTCGCTTTTCGTCCTCTCATTTTCGTAAACAACACCCCCGCCACGAGAAGGCAGTGAGGACTTCCCTGGCAGAGGCTATATACGCGTGGCCATATGAGAGCATTTCGAGAGGGAGAGCGGACTCTCCCCACTCTCGGCCATACCAGGGCATTTGGGGGCTAGATAGCTAAATAGCATCATTAAATGAATGATTCATTACCTTATGATTTTGACAACAAGAATGTGTGCAGATGGTGTTTTGTATATTTTATAACTATGTACATTTTACATATTGGTCGAGTTTCATTCACCAAGCCGGGTAGTCTAATTGTCAAGTTTTAGTTATTATCCTAGACGAAATCTTCAGTATAAATTCCAAATAGAAGTGAGCTACTAGAATTCCACTACATATGAATAACAACTTGTGTCAACGATTAACTTGATTGCTCATTGTATACAATTTTCCTGTTATTGTGTATTTATTTTGGTCATCTTCCCCTCTTATCTGAATACTTGACCTTGTTTATGATCTTTCTAACTATCTGACAAATCAGATAGATACCAATATGTTCATTGGTTGCTGACTGGGCTTTCAAAATTTCTACGGTCTTTATATTTACTAAGTCCAATACTTTAATATTTCTCCAATCGAACGCCTACCCACGACTATCTAGGTGCATTGATACAAGCGGAGATACTTTGTGGGGTTTGACAGATGACTAGTGTTCATGAAGGCGAGAATGAAGATGGCGACTACATTTTTCGATATAATGTTCCACTCAGTTTCAGAAGTTTAGCTTGTAGATGATGTTTGGCTTTTTCACTTGTTATTTCATTTTCTGGTTTGTATGAAATTGATAGGGTGGTTTTGCCAGCTTATGCGCTACACCCATCCCAGATTGTTTCAATAATCTTGCTGTGATTTCCGACATCTTCATTTACGATAAGATGATCCGTTCGTTGACTTTCACACTCGATTCAGTGATTATTAGTGAGTCAACTAAGCATCTTTTTGACGATTTACGTAGGCAACTGCTCATTTGCATAACCGTCACTGGGCATTTCATTTTATTTCTGTGTTGGTTGTGCTGTAGTGCATTTTCTATTTTTTAATAGCCTTCGTATTTGGTTCATCACTCGTACTGTTACCACCTCCACTATATTCCGATTTGGACTGATAAATTCGACTCTGAATTAAATGGGTATGGCAACTTGAACCGATATGCGTACGTACTAAGTTCTACGTTGTGACTGACTGACTTCACACGCGGTTGAACTTATGAACTGTTAGGTTGTTGCTACAGCAATTAGAATTTGATTTGTATGGGTCGGCTTTCGATAAACTTAGTCACCTAGTTTTTCTGCGTTGTTTCGGGTGATCAACGCACCTGGAAATGGATATTTAGTTTTACTGTTGGAGCTCTTAAAATTTAAAAACGTCTAATTGTACATGCTTCACTAGCCAATTCCTTAAAAATTTGTATCATTGATGTATGCTACATCTGGGGGTCCCATATAGAAACTAATTACATACAGTAACATAATCTTCCATGGGCAACCTATGAGAACTATGTGTCCGGAGACTGAACAACAGCTTTTCGCCAAGAATGCAGGTACAGTGTTTAACTCTTAACAATTAGATAGCAGATCCCAGCCCTTCTTGACGTACTTAAGTTTCAGTAATCATCTAGTAACAGTGACTGGTACTTGAAGTGAGATTAAAAGCAAAGTATATGAGCTTATACTTAGCAAATTAGAGATGGGATAATAACTAGAAAGGAGGATTCTCAACTAGATTTTAGCTAATATTCGCTTGTTTTTAGTTTAAATAAATGGGATAGCAAAAAGTCATGAAGAAAATAGATGTAAACCCGGTTGTATTCTACCTATACTTTCATTGACTGAACACCGAAAGCATTCTAACATGCCAACGACATCATTAGCTTTGGCATCTTATAGAACAGTACGAATTGTTCCAGGAAGTTATAACACTATAAACGTTTTGATCAATCAAATATTTAAGTCTTATTCAGTCACACACAGCGATGAACACTACTACTTTTAGTCCTCTCAATATCTCAGCGTTTTAGAACCATATACAGTAATATTTTATCGCAACTATTATGTAACTGCAATGCAGATGAATTGCAAATAAAAATATAATAAGATACTGCTAGACGAACTGGTGGTTGGTGGAAATTATTTGACCGTCTATTTGTTTGCAGCTGACGAGCATCCCAGATTTAGTTCATGAATGATTTTGAGATTATATTTTAAGAAAGATAAGTGCGTAAATGAGTCAGGCTCAGGACTAATAACACTGATTACAGCAAATTACGGAGATAATTTGAACGAAATCTATCGAATGTCCAGGTATTTTGTTGAATTTCCAATTTGTTTCTGACCATAAAAACTAGCTCAAGAGGAATCAAGTTTTTATTTCTACATCGTGTAAACACCATAAATTATTCGTATACAATTTAACCATATAAGGAATAAAAAGCGTAAGCATATGATTTCATACTAGACTCACCTATTGCTGATCCTAAACAATGAGACAGGTTTTGAGTCATCAATGCTCTTCAGCTGATCAAGAGAAACGTTTGCCTCCCAGAAACATAATACGCCATCAGAGCTGACTGTTAATATATTTACAAAGTTATGAAGTATGAATGCCCCCATAATAGGGTTTTTGTGTCCAGCTAGTGTGTAGACGAATATTTTGGGTATATTGTACACAGAGAATAACCGGATAGTGGAATCGACTGATCCAGCAATGAAAAACCTGAACAGATTATTATTTTTATAGGTTTACCTAGAATCACGCGACCAATCAATACAAGTAACGTTATCCGTAAAGCCGTAAAACACGCGATAGAGTTCCAAATGATTAAACTGGCGGTTTGGAGAGGGTGCGAAGAAAAGCATCACATTATTACCTTTTGCGACAGCCAAGAACCTAAAATAAGTAGGCATACAATGGCAACTTACTTTCCATCTGGGCTGAAGGAAACAGCCAAGACTACTCCCTTGAAAGGATACACAGATATCACGGCTCCTGTGGAGAGTGAGCATAAAGACGCATCACCAACTATTAATAACAGCTGTTGGTCACATTCAATAACATATTACCCTCATTAATAGCGACTAGAAGAGGTATTGAAGGAGACAACGCCAAGTGGTGCACATCGTGGAACGAGGAAATATCAACAGATGCTACTTCATCTCTTGAAAAGACATTGATCAGGAATACTCAAAACAATTACTTCTTAAGATCAAAAACTGTTATCTGGTTGCCAACTGGGCTCAAAAGACCCAAACCATTGTTCGTAAAAACAATGGATCCACACTTGTAGGCTGTTCCAAAAAGATTTTTGAACTTTCAATCAAGGAGATTCACAAACCACTATTACCTTGAAGTTCAGCCTCATAACACGTGCAGTCGATGTAACGCACAATTTAAAATATGACTAGTAATCTATCATCAGTCTTTGAAGACTGAACTACTAATAAAAGTCCTCAGTCTGACTTATTATGCTTTAATTACGCTAACTCCGTTTGGATAGTGGCGGTTATCAGAAGCCGTATACGAACTAGGGACCCGATGAATTGCATCCCAGGCTACTAAAAGAATTACCTAACATCGATGCGAACACTTTAAGTAATACTTTAATCTATCCGTAACGCAGATTCGTTTACCAAAAGACTGGAAGAACGCCACATTAGGCCCTGTCTTCAAAACAGGTATGAGACATAAACCTGAGAATTACTGCCTCGTTAGCCTAAATAGTGTGCTTGTTAAAATCATAGAAAAGATTGTTCGGAAGGAGCTGTCTAAGTACCTAGATGAAAGCCAGATCCTTTCGGAGAAGCAGAATGGTTTTAGGATAGGTTGTTCTTGTCTCACTAGCTTATTAGTCACTCGTGAAGGCTGGTGCGCTTTTAAGGACCAAAAGTTACTTGTAGACGTAACCTAGATGGATTTCAGCAAAGCTTTTGACAAAGTTCTGCTCAATCGGCTGCTATACAAGCTAAGAAACGTTGGAATTGGAGGCGATCTATTGATGTGGATCAAAGACTTCCTAGATGGGAGCCAACAAAGAGTACTGGTGAACTCAAAGTTATCTAGCTGGGGAACTGTGCTTAGTGGAGAACCCCAGGGTACAATTTTGGGGCCATTGCTATTCCTGTTGTATGTAACTGGCCTTCCTTGTCTCCTATCATCATCGGTCTTGCTATTTTCTGACGATGTCAAGATATGGAGAGCGATACGTAGTAAGAGCGATAGCTTAGAACTCCAAAACGACCTGAAGAAATTATCTGAATGGTCTCAAACCTGGCAGTTGCCGATAAATACTTCCAAGTGTGTTGTGATGTATATTGGTCATCAAGGTACAGATACATACACGATGGATAACACTGAGCTACCTGTTGTGCAGACACACAATGAAATAGGACTCATCGTTAGCCAAGACTTAGCTACTGCAAACTGCCGTGCAATAGCCACCAAAGGCTTTAGAACTTTATGGCTAATACATAGGGCTTTTAGTCATGTCGACGCTAAAACGCGTTGAACTTTGTATACAGTGTTCGTACGTCTTAAACTTGAGTACTGCATACAAGCGGCTAGCCCCTGCTTAAATAAAGACAATGAACTTTTGGAAAAGTTTCAGAGAACAGCATCCAAGCTGATTCCCGGGATAGAGAAGCTCCCTTATGACACTCGACTGGCCAAGCTAAACTTGTTACTGTTGTCATATCGAAGAACTAAAGGTGATTTGATTACGATTTTCAAATTGCTTAGTGATAAATTTGCACTTGATATTGTCTCATTTTTCCTGTCTTACAAAACAGAGAATTTACAGGGACACTCCAGAACAGTTCACAAGTCCAGAACAAATTACTTGTTATTTGACTATCGACTTTTCAGTCGAATCATCAACCAACATAATTCATTATCTCATCACGTGGTTGAGGCTCCATCCGTCGACTCTTTCAAAAGAAAGTTGGATCAACTGGGAGGCCACTACCAGGACTAACACAGACCATCTAGCCTACTGTCCTTTGCAAACTCAAAATGAATGAATCTATTCCAGGCACTACGTTGCTCAAACAGGCAGAAATGTGAGAAGCAGATCGTAGAAGACGAACCTGTCAACTCAAAGTAATACTCATTACAGGCGTCGATATGGCTCAAATGGAAAATGAATAGTGTGAAAATGAACAGGTACTGGACAATATAATACAAGTATGGACATATACAGACACATACGAGACGACTGAAACCTATTGTAGCGGTAAATAAAACCCCAAAATAAATAGCTCTGTAATTGTTCAACATTGGATGCTGACCACATTACTTTTAATGGGATCACCTAGCTGAAGGCGCTCGGTCATGCATCCGTACCAGATCACGAGTAGGAACGCCGTGTTTAACATCCCCTGCAATCGCTAGTCAGTCTAGATCAGACGATCCTCGATATTTTGATAGCTTATCAAATATATCTTCGAACCTCTTCGCTTCTGTCTTTCGATTTCACTTAGTGGGTACGATTCATAGTAGGTTATACTGGTCAAAGCGTTATCAAACTTCGAATATCTGTGGCATCTTCACTAAGATTACAATAAACAGGATGGTTATTAGAAAGTTGAAAAGGATTCGACATCAAAACATTTTGTGAGTTACTAAAGTCTGTCTGAAATCCAATGTGCATTAGTATAAGACATCAAATATATCAACTGAAGGTGCCAATATTACTTATCACAGTAAATAATTCCAGGGATTCACTGCTTGATGTGAGAAAGTTAACTCCAGACCTGAAGGATAACAAGAATAGGATGACGAGTTGCAGTTTATCTTCATAAGTCAGAGCAGCGTGGCTTTCCACGAACTTTTACCCACGACGTTGGGTTCACTCTATTATAGTCGCTTCACGCTTAGAACAAGGACCCGGAGCTTCAAAAATATCTCAGAAACCTGGCTCTGCAAGCTTCACAACACTGTTTAAATGCTCTCCTATCATACATCCATAATATTAAGTTTGTGACTTCTGAAGAACGTGTTTGGTGTGGGAAGAGACTATACATACTCTTAACCCTTATACCGGCTTCTGCCACTAAAACAACGAGTGCTACAACGATCGATATTCATGTTGCCGTGGTAAAGATTGCATCAGTAGTACCAAATTTCCAAAACTCTTGTACAGTCAACTGTATTGATGTTAATGGTAATGTTCTGACAAGCATCCTTTTTGCCATATAACACTGTAGAATTGTGATCTGCCTCAGCATTAACACTAATATGATGATAGACCTAGTCCCAAATTGTACATATATCATGATGTGACGACCTAGTTTACAAGATCTTATGTGGAAGTCACATCATTCTCTACGCTGACTCGTTCTATTGTGACAATTAGCAGTATGAAGTCTAGCATTTATGAAGAACACATTTGAGCTGAGAATGGATCAATATATTCAACACAAAAAAACAATAAGATATTCAGAGTAACCACATTCACATAGCCGAGCCATGCTATTTTGACGAATTGTTCCCGAGTTCACCATTACCGACCTCCTCCAATTGTTACATGTTGAATGCCAACCTCCTCAGTTATTAAATGTTCAGCTTCAAGATTTGTGTAGTTAGGAACCAATACTACTAGAACACTATTTTTAAATAATAATTGTCACAGTTAGACTCGAATCGGCCCTATTTTAACGTCAAGGTTGCTTCTGTCACGACACTAGTCATTCGGAACCTCAAATAAGATCTCAGTGATTTTACTGGAAGTAGGTCTGTAATTGTATATGTTCTCAACCGCATGATTATTGAACCCGAACATATGACAACTGGGAAATTTTGAGTTCGGTGCTAGTGAGTATCCTTCGTCTTGTCGATAGAAGAAATCAAACTGTGGTGAGTAGGTCTTTTTTATCGTGAAAAGAAAGGTTGAAGGGTGAGGTTGATTTTTTCAAACACAAAGTTTTTTAAACATTCAGTGTGAAATAATAAAAAATATGATGTCTATGAAAAGTAAAGAAGTGAATGAATTCTTGGACTACAGTACAATAATAGTACTAAGATCTTTGCTGACTACTCTTAGCCAACCAACCTGATTTGTTACACATCCAAGTTCTAACACGAAGCAGGTCAGGGATGGTGAATGTGGGCACACTTAATCGGCAATGACATGACTCGACTTTGAAGGCTTGGTCGCTTCATATTACTTTTTCGTCTTCATGTTAAATATAATATTCTCTCCCCATACCAAACGTGATTTTCAGAAGTCATAAACTTCATATTAATGACGCATGATAGGACGAGTATACAAACAATGTTATGACTCTCACATAAGACCTTATAAGATGGGTAGTCATATCACTGTATATATACAATTGTGGAATAGGTTTATTATTCAAGTAGTAAAGATGAGTTCACTTAGTACCGACCTCGACATTAATTTCAAAGATTCATTCAAATACGTCGCACTACAATATGCTTTAGAAAGAAGTCCTGGGTGTTCATTTTATTTTGATGTTTGGTAGTGACGCGAAAGTTAAATTTGACCTCGTCAGTTAATTACTATGGATGACTTAAAGTGTTTGACTGACTATGAACTATTTTTTGCATATAATTGCTGTACCGTGGCTTCAGATATACTCTCTTTACTCGAACTTTGAATTTGTTTGTCCTTATTTTGACCTTAAGCGTCCTCAGCTTTGCGTTATTCTAATTTGACATTTCAGAAATTTCGCCCTGGTAATCTAAAGATCTTTAGTTCGCTGTAAGAGGTTTTTAGCTATTATCAGAACGATGTATTTGGATTTACTACTCGTAATTTGTGAATGATTTTTGGTGTCGGATTTGAAGTTTGGTTATTTCGTTACTTAGGTCTTAAGTTTTGAGTACATACATCAATCATACTTCAAGAAGTGAAATGAGCAAAAGTGAATCGTACCACATTCCTCACTCGGCGGTGAGCCGAATAAGAAATTAGTCAGGCTTTTCACATGAACATAAATTTGATGATAGTAAGTTACTGATAAAGAAAAACTAACGCTTTAACTTGAATTTGTAAAGGAACCAGTTCTGTCTATCATTGCTTCTGGATTAAATACAATCAAAAGTTTAAGATAACTAGAAATCAGATAATTCAGAAATCCGTTTTAATCATATTTTCAGCATCCTTTGGACTGATGAATTCGTCTGTTTTAATATAATTTGTCTTAGTTGTCAAACGGTTGGTTTGTTTTTCATTTGATTTTTATCATCAGTCTCCATAAGACCTTGGTTTTACGGTTGTTATTCCTTCTTTCTACGGAGAACAATCTTGATATGTTTGGAAAAACGCACCATGAAGTAAAAACTAAATCACAACATATTAGTGTTGGTTTATTTCATTGAAACGCTCCTAAAAGTGACAACTGTTTTTTATAAGGCTTAGATTAAAAATAACACATCTGGT